AAAAGACAAAAGATCAGGGATATAAGTTACGGTAAACCTAAAGCGATATCTACAGCGACAGGATAAAGGTGGTGGAATATTCGGTTGCTTTTTGGAAATAGAAGGGGGTACTGATTCTGTTCGTCCAACTTCAAGTAATTTCGCACAATGTCACATAAGCAGTAAATCTGTTAAAATAAAATCCGTCTCTGGAACATTTGTGGGAGATGTCAAAAAAGTAACTTTAAATGGAACAGTCATTTCTGATTATAAAAAGCAAGATAATGAAATTTCTTTCAAAAATCCAATCGATATATCTGAAACTTTAAGTATACAATTTCATTTTCGGAAAAATGATAATAAATTTGGATCGGATTCTGCAAAATCGAACCCTTTCACATATAGTTCAAACATACAGGAACACGTTAGAGGACACGGTAAAAAGACATCCAGTAGGCTTAGAAACTATCACATTTAGTTTGAACTGACATTGAACCAATTTTTTGCATCTGACCTGAGCAACGAGTTAAATCTTATTGCTAATTTTGTTTTCTCAGTCATATGCATGGTCAAAATATAGATACAGCATGCATTTGGATCAGCTATTACTTGTACAAAAGGCTAATTCCAGACTTTATAGAAAAAGATTCAACCTGTGTTTCTATATTGACTAGTCGTGTCTTTAATTTAATGTCTTTTTATTTTGCTCCGACTTTCTGGTTCAATTCTGCATCTCAACTTTAAAACATTATTTAAATCTATAAGGATCACATTTTTATAAAAGTACAGATTGTAATTATCAATAAAACAAATATTGCTTCTGATTTTACAGAAATATAGGCTATATCGCTTCTTATTTCAGAGACTATATTTCGTTGCACTACTTTACTTCAATAATTGTAGCACTAGATCAAAGTTTAGTTTCTTTTGTTTGTGATCAGACAATCGTGTCTTTTTCTACTGTGGTCACTATAGATACCCGGAATTTTAGAAATGTTGTGTAAGTGTAATGTATACTCAAATAGTAATGTATACTTAGTCCTTACGTAAGTGTAAGGTCACCGTTACCTCACTTTACCTTAATTAAATTCACACTAATTTGTTTTCAGATTTCGTACATTCTGGTTTTAATTCAAATAAACTTTATTAATCGAGGTATTTCTAATATTACTGTACTTAGTTTTTGGTTAAGAAAATAACTCATAGAGTAGGATTAAATATTCATAAGACTCATCTCAATGTCTACTTTTTCGTATTTTCAGGTTGATTTACATTTGATTTAATATACAAAAAAATCAAATTGTTTTCATTCCTTTTTTATCTAAATTATTGTATGAATGGATTGAATTTTTAAATGCTCAAATTTATTTCTTTATTTTAATTTTTTTATATGTATTTTGTTTTTATTTTTATTTTATTATTTGCTCGATTATACACATCTTTATCTTTCATTGGTTAGTGTTTTTAATTTGTGATAAACGATGCATTCCTCACTCACACAATGCTAATCTTGCATGAGTACACTTACAGGGTTCGTAAACGTTATTGGTGGCTCGTTATTTTGGACAAAAGTTATAAGTAAGTAAGGTTTTGTGTAAAATAAACTGAGTAAGTCCTTATGTAAAATAAACTGTTCACTGGAAGATGTAATGAGATTTAAACGCAGTGTAAAATGATTTGTTGGAGGGTGTGTTTTTAAACAGAACTCCTATATCTCAGGAATTTAATAAGAATTAGTTGAAAAAAACTATCCTGTACCTTTCATTTTATCACTATCCTTTACAATTTATTATGCTCCCCGAAAAAATTTCGGGGGAGCATATAGTCGCCGCCTTGTCCGTCCGTCCGTCCGTCCCCTTTTCTTGTCCGGGACATAACTTTGAAACAACTAGAGGTATCAACATGAAACTTTGTAGGTAGATAGATCTCATTAAGTAGATGTGCAGTGCACAAGAACCGTAACTCTGCCTTGCCTAATTTTTGAATTATTCCCCTTTGTTTATTTTTACACTTAGAACTTTGTCCGGGACATAACTCTAAAAGTATAAGAGGTATCAACATGAAACTTTGTAGGTAGATAGATCTCATTGAGTAGGTGTGCAGTGCACAAGAACCGTAACTCTGCCCTTGCCAAATTTTTGAATTCCCGCCCCCCTTTGTTTATTTTACACTTTTGAAATTTGTCCGGGACATAACTCTAAAAGTATAAGAGGTATCAACATGAAACTTTGTAGGTAGATAGATCTCATTGAGTAGGTGTGCAGTGCACAAGAACCGTAACTCTGCCCTTGTCTTATTTTTGAATTATCCCCCTTTGTTTATTTTACACTTTGAACTTTGTCAGGGACATAACTCTAAAAGTATAAGAGGTATCAACATGAAACTTTGTAGGTAGATAGATCTCATTGAGTAGGTGTGCAGTGCAAAAGAACCGTAACTCTGCCTTGCCTAATTTTTGAATTATCCCCCTTTGTTTATTTTACACTTTGAAATTTGTCCGGGACATAACTCTAAAAGTATAAGAGATATCAACATGAAACTTTGTAGATAGATTGGTCTCATTGGGTGGAAGTGCAGTGCTTAAGAATCATTACTCTGCCTTGCCTTATTTTGAAGTAATTGCCCTTTGTTTATTTTTACTTTTTGACTTTTGTCCTGGACAATACTTTAAAACTATTAGAGATATCAACATGAAACTTTGTAGGTAGCTAGATATAATTGGATATAATTGCAATGCTTAAAGAACCTAAACAAAGCCTGGTCTAATTTTGGAGTTATTGCCCTTTGTTCATTTTTACACTTTGACTTTTACCCGGGACATAACTCTGATATCATCAGGAAACTTTATAGATAGATAGATCTCATTGAATAGAAGTGCAGTGCAAAAAAACATAACTCTGCTTTGCCTTATTTTGGAGTTTTTGCCCTTTGTTCATTTTTTTTATACTTTCCTGTGTCCAGAACCTTCTCGGGGAGCATCACCCGGTTCAACCGGTTCTTGTTTTATATTGACAAGAACTTTCCTTTTGATTTTATTTTAGAATTATCTTAAAATGTTATTTTAGAATGGCAAGATCAATCATTATCATTTTAATTTAGAATCACCTTCTTCACTGTAAATTTTACTGGAAGTCAAACTTATTCTAGACGGCTTTCGACCAAAAATATCTATCTCTAATGGAGTTCTTCAAAATGTTTTCTAGTTTTCGTTATATGCTGATGGTACTGTACTTTTAGCAGAAAGCAAAACTGATTTGCAAAATATCTTAAATGCTATGATTGATTACTATAAGCTATGGAATCTTGTTGTAAATGAAGCTAAAATAGTGGTTTTTATTAAGTCAAAACCTAAGGATGATTTTGGTTAACCTTGGAGTAGTTTTCTAATTATAACGGCAAATTTTTGAAATAAAAAAAAATCTTGTTGATAATGCTAGAAGAGCAATGTTTTTGTGATCCAAAAGTTCCGTAAATTATGTCTTCCAATTTCTTTGCAACTACATTTTTTTAACTCTAGGGTTGTACCTATCCTTCTTTTTAAAGTGCAGTTTGGGGATTCGAACAAGTTCAAATTCTGGAGAAATTTCAGTTGTATTTTTTAAAATTTATTTTGAATTTTAAAACTTCTACACCTAATTTTATGGTTTATGTTGAGTTAGGCATATTTTCATTAGTCTTACAAGTAAAAGCAAGAGCTGTGTGTTTCTGATTAAAATTATTTATGCTATGGAAAATAAGATATATAAACTTCTTTATAAAATACTGTTGTCTTTGTCCTCTAGGAATATTGTTAATTTTAAATGGATAAATTTTGTGAAAGAAACACTTTGTAACCTTGGCATGTCAGAATATTTTCATAAACAGAAGGTAGATAATATTAATCACTTTAAAAATATTGTGAAGCTTAGACTACATGATGTATGCATAGTACTATTGATAAATCTTCTAAGTGCTTAGTGTATCGAACATAATATCAAAACATCTAGATGTACTTCCATTTGGCATAGGAAAATATTAATGTAAATTTAGAACAATGACCTATGGCAGACAATTTGGCAATTGATCATAACAATAGACTCTGATCCTTATGTCCGTATCAAGCTTTCGGTGATGAATTTCACTACTTATTTGAATGTGCGTACTTTAATGACATAAGACTTGAAGTTCCCAGTTTTTTATATTCATCCCAATATTTTTAAATTTGACAGGTTAATGAATAGATGTGACAAAAAGATTCTACTAAAATTATCTTCATTTTGTAAAAACATTATGTTAACAGTTAAAATTTAGATAATTAATACTTCTCATTCTCCGTTCCCTTTTGTTACAATGTGAAATACATGTTGTATTGAATTCAGTACTTGAGGAAGCTCTAATTAAAAAGGCTTAAAATATTTAATGCCGGATAAATTCAACAGACCAGGGCCAAGGTGTCTGCGAGGTAGTGTCTCAACCTTTAGCGGATCTGTGCCTGTATCACTTTTTCATCTTCCTTTAGCCAGATAAGATAAGGATATCTTATTACAGTCAGGCAGTTTGTTAAACACCACTAAAAGCTTTATCGATTATTAAATGATAGTATCAGTTAACTTCTAGATCACAAAACTTCTCGTGATTTGCTTTAAACGCTTTAATTTGCTCTATTTCATGCTAGGTTTGACCCGGTCCATACTTACAGAAAATTTCTATAATTATATTTTGTATCGGGCAACTAAACAATGCTTTCTCCATTATGACAAAGGTTATTTTCGGTATAAAGAAGTTACGAGTACCAAGCAAAATCGGTTTAAGAGTTACAGTGTACTCGTTATGATTTAGATTTAAAAAACAAACAAGAAAATACAAGTCCAAAGTTGTTACACTTTATGAATAAGTAACAATCTGCTTCTATAACTCTTACTTTACTAATAAATATTTTTTAATTTTGTCAACAAAATAGTTAAACAAATGAACGTTTGAAGCAGTATATCAAAATTCGTCTAAGATTATTTCTATTTATATCTATACATAGATATGACTTTACAATCTAAATTTAGATATTGTTAACCGGAAATTCGTAAACGATAGATGATATGTCTGACTCAAGAAGGTAATTAATTTTACTTTATCTTTCTTGTTAATGTATGCTAAATAATATACATTACGCAGAGATATGTTATTAATTTCATAACAAGTACAATATTCAAGGTACTTGTTTGGTGTAGGAAAACTTTCATTTACTTTTCTTGTTATTTTAATGTAGCTACTTTCTGTTTCGTGGTTGTTTGTGTTTTTATACGCCCGTTTGAAAGACGGGACGTATTATGGGAACGCCCCTGGCGGACGGGCGGCGTCCAATTTTGTCCGGAGCATATCTCCTACATGTATGGAGGGATTTTAATGAAACTTCATAGAAATGTTCACCACTATGAGGAGCAGTGTCGCGCACATGAACCAGGTCTCTAGGTTAAAGGTCAAGGTCACACTTAGAGCTCATTGAAAAATGCTTGTCCGGAGCAAAACTTCCACATGTATAGAGGGATTTCAATATTACTTGGCACAAATGTTCACCATTGTGAGGCGGGGTGTCGCGTGCAAGATTCAGGTCCTCGCGGCCAAGGTCAAGGTCACACATAGAGGTCAAAGTTCAGATAAAAATATGAAGATGTGTATATGGACCATTTAGTCATCATTTATTGAGGGATTGTAACACAAATGGTCATTATCAAGACTATGGCTGTGATACATATAATTTAGGTCAATATATACAAGGTCAAGGTCACTAAAGATGATGAAATATTCCAGATTTTGTAAATAGAATTTAATCAAAGGGCGACAACAAAGTTATTACTTTGTTCATAAATGACTTACACAATTACTCCCCTTGATCTACTTTCACTTTCAATTCTAAAAATAGAATTTAATCAAAGGGCGTAAAATAATCCTCTTTGTTGGACTTGAGTATGTTCTAAAGAATGTAACATTTATTTACACATGTTTCATTCATTGGTCAAGATTCTTAACTGTGATAACTATGGTGTTCTGTAGACTTGGTATTTGTTCATAAAGATCATACAGTAATTACCTTATCAAATGTAAATACTTTCTCATAGAAATTTAATTATATTTTAATTTTCAAGTAAATTTCAGTTCAGCTCTCCTACATGTATGGAGGGATTTTCATGAAACTTCATAGAAATGTTCACCACTATGAGGAGCAGTGTCGCGCACATGAACCAGGTCTCTAGGTCAAAGGTCAAGGTCACACTTGGAGCTCATTGAAAAATGCTTGTCCGGAGCAAAACTTCCACATGTATAGAGGGATTTCAATATTACTTGGCACAAATGTTCACCATTGTGAGGCGGAGTGTCGCGCGCAAGATTCAGGTCCTTGCGGCCAAGGTCAAGGTCACACATAGAGGTCAAAGTTTAGATAAAAATATGAAGATGTGTATAGGGACGATTTAATCATCATTTATTGAGGGATTGTAACACAAATGGTCATTATCATGACTACGGCTGTGACACATGTACTTTAGGTCAATATATGCAAGGTCAAGGTCACTAAAGATGGTGAAATATCCAGATTTTGTCTGGAGCATATCTCCTACATGTATGGAAGAATTTTTATAATACTTTATGGAAATGTTCACCACCATGATATGTATTGCTCCATGCATGATCTAGGTCAAAGGTCAAGGTCACACTTAGAGCTCATTGAAAAACGCTTGTCCGGAGCAAAACTTCTACATTCATAGGGGGATTTCAATATAACTTGGCACAAATGTTCACCATTGTGAGGCTGAGTGTCGCATGCAAAATTCAGATCCCTGCGACCAAAGTCAATGTTACACATAGAGGTCAAAGTTCAGATAAAAAATTTAAGATGTGTATAGGGACCATTTAGTCATCATTTATTGATGGATTGTAGCACAAATGGTAACTATCATGACTACAGGTGTGACACATTTAATTTAGGTTAATATTTGCAAGGTCAAGGTCACTGGAGATGATTAAATATCCAGATGTTGTCCGGAGTATATTTTCTACATGCATGGAGGAATTTTAATGTTACTTTATAGAATTGTTCACCACCATGAGACGTAGTACTAGTGCCCTGCACATGAACTAAGTCTCTAGGTCAAAGGTGAAGGTCACAGTTAGAGCTCATAGAAAAACGCTTGTCTGGAGCAAAACTTCTACATGCATAGAGGGATTTCAATATAATTTGGAACAAATGTTCATCATTGTGAGGCTGAGTGCCGTGCATAAAATTCAGGTCCCTGCGACCAAGGTCAAGGTCACACATCCTGTGCATATCTTCCCTACTGATTTGTTTTAAGGTTCATTTAACAACACAGTGCCAAGAATAAAAACTTGCTTGCTAGATAACACTTATCCATAATGCCCCCATCTCCATCTAAAGCTTTCGTAAACGGGCGTATTTTGTGACTATGGCACCCTTGTTTCCATATGTTTTTGATTCAGATAATAAACGTAAAAGTTGAAATACTAGAATATAAAATACCTATATGTACTTATGTCAGTGATATTAAATTAATATTTACAATTTATTTTATCAATACCTCATCTACTTTCTGTTTCGTTCGTTTGTCGTATTAATTATTTTCTTCTTTGTGTATATTGAAAATGTCACAAGTCATGTTAAAATAACAAATAAACGGAGGAATTTGAAGATCAAAGCCATTTCATACCAAATCTGATTTTTTTCTTTAAAAAGGCCGAATGATATAGTCTATAAAGTTATATGGTTTTAAAACCCATATTTGAATTTATTTAAAGTTACAGGTTTAGAAATAATGTACGATTAATAAATAAATGAAACATAATTTTCGTCAAAGGCAATTATAAATCATTCAGTTGATTTGAACCATAAAGTTACGCAAAAATCAATTTATACATTTATTGTAACTTTGATTATTATGAAAGTAACTTATATGAGCTTCCACATCGGTTTTCCAAAAACCGAACTCTATTAATAGCTCTAACTATTATTAGATAATTAAGTGTTAGAAACACAAAATATCTCTATACATTTAACGAGAACTAATCACACTTTCCATGCATTTTTGCATCATTTCATTTAAACAAATTCTTAACGTTACTTGCATTTTAGGCAGACGATATTTTTAGCTTTGACGGAAAACCGTTTCTACTATTTATAAACTGGTTGTCACTCTATCATTTGTAGGTCATTGTTCAAATGCTGTTGTTCTGAAACAAACTTTAGTGAAACATAAAATAATGTAGCCATATAAAAGCTTGTTATATAAATTATAAAACAAAACTGATGTGATATGTTGTGAAAAAAAATATATATTAAGGCGACAACAGACAATTTTCGTGGTACTCTCATAAATGTCATTTTAACCTTCTTATTTTAGTAATGATTGTTATTTATATATCTATAATCTATTATGCATTTAATGTCTCTAATCTTCATAAGAAATAACATATTTGAAAAAAATGTTATTTTGAACAAAAACTATAATTTTAAATCGTCATATCAAAGTCATTTTCTTTATTTTTTTGTCATCAAACTTTAGGAATATAAACATAATATATCTGGGGAGAAGTGTCTGAGATTTTTTCTGTCTTTCTCAAAAAAATATTACGTAACGTCAAACATTGTATGCGACTTTTTTACCATCTATTTTACGTAATTGAAGATAATTATGTCGCTGATTGAGCAAACACTAGAACTCCGCGAGTCGGATGTGTCGCCTTGTGAACAATGTAGTTTAGGGGAAATGGTCAGGACAAAAATGAAATATGAAAAATAACAAAGGGCAATAACTAAAAAAATAATACGTGCAGAGCAGCAGTTTCTGTACACTGCACTTCTTATCAAATTCTATGATGTTTCAAGTCCATAGCTTTCATACTTGAGGAGAAATGACCAGGACAAAAATAAAGTAAGAAAATCAACAAAGGGCAATAACTCAAAAATAAGAAATGCAGAGTATCAGTTCTTATGCACTGCACTTCTTTTTAATGAGATCTATCATCCTATGAAGTTTCAAGTCCATAACTTTTATACTTTCGGAGAATTGGCCTGGACAAAAATTAAGTATGAAAATTAACAAAGGGCCATAACTCAAAAATTAAGAAATGCAGAGTACAGATTCTTGTGCACTGCACTTCTTAATAGTGAGATCTATCATCCTATGAGGTTTCAAGTCCATAGCTTTTATACTTAAGGAGAAATGGCCCGGACAAATTTAAAGTATGAAAATAAACAAAGGGCAATAACTCAAAAAATAAGAAATGCAGAGTACCAGTTCTTGTGCACTGCACTTCTTCCTAATGAGACCTATCATCCTATGAAGTTTCAAGTCCATGGCTTTTATACCTTAGGAGAAATGGCCCGGACAAAAATAAAGTATGAAAATTAACAAAGGGCAATAACTCAAAAATTAGGAAGTGCAGAGTACTGGTTCTTGTGCACTGCATTTCTTCTTAATGAGATCTATCATCCTATGAAGTTTCAAGTCCATAGCTTTTTTAGTTGAAGAGAAATGGCCCGGACAAAATTAAAGTATAAAAATTAACAAAGGGCAATAACTCCAAAAATAAGAATTGCAGAGTACCGGTCCTTGTACACTGCACTTTGGGTTATTGAAAGAAGCATGCATACCAAGTTTGAAGTCAATCAGACTTATAGTGACTGAGTTATGCTCCGGACAAGCTTTAGGGGACGCCGACACAGACGCCGCCGCCGACACCGCCGACAAAAGTAACCCCTATATGTCACCTTTTCAAGGCGACACAAAAACTAACTGACACATTTCCCTCCGTAAATTAATTTTCTTTCATGTGCTTGAAACAGCATGTAAATTGCTTGATTATTAAAAAAGATATGCAGATTCAAAGTTAGTCCGACTCAGCAGCAAACGGAGTGTCATAAATCGGCTGTTATCGCTCAGACCCCTACGCTTCACGCTAAATTTTTACATAACACACAAATATCGCACCAAAGGGGGTCTCAAATTGCGGTAACATACTCTAAAAAGATTTTATGACCAAGTGACATCTGACCAATTAAAAAGCTGCTAAATAATATCATTTCATGGCAGAAATTTCTTCAAATCCTAACGTCATTGAACGTTACCGTCCGTCTGGTATCTGTCGCACATGTCACGTGACTATCGGTAAAATTTGAGGCACTCGGTGGGGGAAAATGGAACACATTTAATTGTTTCACTTTTAAAGTTTATTATTATCATCATTGGTATTATATTATACCAGTGTCACTCGGCCTGTGTATTCGTGTACGGAATTCCGTTAATATATATTTAAAAGAACGAAAAACTGAGCTCCAGACAGACTTAAAGTCCGTGGTACGATGTTCAAATTAGAACGGGATATTATAATGTGGGAAATAATATAAATTTCATACTTTGTCCTAGGCTTATTAGTACTTTGTTTGATCGCAATTCATGGGTGAATAATATATTCAAAGCATTCACTAAACATACATTTTCATATCTTTTTATTGATACATCCGCAGACTATCGAAAAAATATTTTAGAAATTTTTCAGGGACACCTGACCACGAGTCATATAGGCGTTCTCATAAAAAATGTTGTCTGTTCCTTTTGATATTGCTAGAAAATGAGGTCTACGATACAGCAAGCTCCTGAATTCGTACAAAAGTCTATGAACGCAATGTAATGTCTATCAGATTACGGGACAAATACATTATTAATTTACACATTTTGGATATTTTAGCAGCGATTTGCCGCTTTGCTGAATTATTTATGCTACAACCTAGCCGACAATTTCTTAATTTATAAAAAAATAGGCTAAATAAAAGGTAGAAGATATAATGTTGAGATATTCATGAAAGATATACAGTGATTTAATGATTAACTTATTACGGGCAGTATCTACTTATTAAAAATAAACAGGTTATTCCCGTATAAATGGAACTACCGATTTCCCTCATTGATGCCTCACGAGGGGGGGGGGGGGCGGGCAGCTAATACGCAAAGTAGATGAAAACGGTTAAGGTGCCGTTTTAAAACGTTTAAAAACATATTTTCTGGACTAACTGCTTCCAAAATTAAATTACAAATGTGTTCAGATATACTTAGCCAAAATCTCATTCTAGGTATTTTTAGTGATAATTAACTCCGTTGTCACCTTAACCTCGGCTGTCGCCACAGTCTTATTCTTTTTCGTGTCAATTCAAATCATGAAAAACACATTTCCATATGAATATAAACTGCTAACAAACAACAAGTATTCACGAAGGACAGTTTCTAACTTGTAAAAGAAATATTTTCAATAAGTTTTTCATTGATTTCTTGATCATTTTCTGTTTGGGCGGGAAATATGTTGTTTAACAAATAAAATGTCGTGAAAAGATAAATTTTCACCACGGGCACTTTAATTAAGTGTATTGTATTGTAGCTTTAAAATTTAAAAAGTAACAAAGTAAGGCAAGTTTGTTTGACCTTTAGATACGAATGTGTAGAACTAAATATACAACACACATTTATAATGTGTAAGAATGTCATTTGATTAAAGTCATCAAGTAATATAAACCTGTTTCCTCAATGAATTGAATATCCATGAATTATACTTTAATACTATTATAATGTCTTGTTATATGTCTTGTTATATGAGGCTCTCTCCTAGGAAAGTAAATATGGACTCGAAGTTTTTTGTTTGTTTTTCTTTTCCCCGTCAATTTTCGCTTTTTAAAGTAGAGAAATTCCTTTTTTCATAATAGAACGTTAATGTATTTTTAGAACCTACATTTCTTCCTGATTCAAATTTTGCTCTTGTTACAGGTCGGGAAAAATGTCAAGAATGGCTACTGGCTCTGGAAAGGAATCATCTGCAATGTCTTCAAATTCAGAAATGGAGAGGTACGTTGATTTAAACGATGTTCTACAAAAACAAATATATTCAACAACTAAAAGCAGGGAGCTGAAGTAGCTAAAGCACGCTCCGTTCCTCCGCTTAATGATCTGATTTTGTTTCCGATTTATTTCCCATAACGGCAGCTTGCTTATCATAAATATTTTCGATCATCTTATCAGAGGAACGGAGATTTCTTTCTTGAAACAATTTTATAGGGGATTTTATATTGAAATGTTTATATTATACAAGGTGTCTTATAGATCTTCCTTACTTTATTTTGGTTTCTATTGCGTTTAATTCTGTAACATCGCATTTATATCTATATTTAGTAAACAAACAAATGTATATTTTATTCCTTTTTGGGGAAGGGGTGGGAGGAAGGACATTTGAGAGAATTTCATCTTTGAATAAATGGACTAGTATTTGTTCTTTATAAAAATAAGTTTTGTGTCCCTGTGACTGCTTAGTGTATTCACTTCGAGATGTTAAACGAAACATTCAAAAGGAATTGATATAGATTAATATATACATACATATATTTTTCAAAAAAATAAAGTTATACTTTTGGCTTAAGACAATTTCTATTATCTTGTACATGCATTCCGCTAAAAGTACTACTTTTCCTACCATTTATGTCTAGTAAAGTGATATATATTTTTCTTTTCTTTCAGTTCAGTTGATAATGACTGGAGGGAATCTAGAACGGTTGCGCAATGTGTGTCATATCTTTGCTTCTCAGAACATCTTTCTGACATCAGCTTTACCTTCAGCGAAGATAAAAGTGTGAAACTTCCAGCACATAAATTTGTACTGAGCATGCGCAGTGATGTTTTTGAAGCTATGTTTTATGGTTCTCTTGCAGAGGGAGATGAAACGGTGCTAATAAAAGATGTGAAACCTGACGTAATGAAGACGATTTTAAGGTTTATATATCACAATAGTTTTGAACGCACAGATGTTAAATCTGCAATAATTTATGGTGACGACCTTAAAAGGATAAAAATTGAGGACATGTTCGTTTGTCCAAAATGTTTTTTTGTTGTTTTTTTTCAATTCTCTCTTCTTAGATTAACATACCCTTTTATTGAATATCGATGAGATAGAAAATCTATATCATTCATTTTTACTTTTTATTTATATATGATTCATTTATTTTTTTTATTTATTTATTTTTTTTTTTGATTGAATAATTTTCGTTTTCTGTATTTTAGATTTGTCTACACCGACAAGCCAGAGATTGACGGAAATAATGTCTTACCTTGTTTGTATGCAGCAAAAAAGTACAACTTGTCTGGTCTTGTCAGACAATGTTCCGACTTTCTTCAAAACAACATTGATGAGAACAATGTTTGTCAGATAATCGAGCATGCCATCTTTTATCAGATGAACCCTCTACAAGAGAGATGTCTTTCATTCATCATGGATAATGCATCCATGGTCCTTTTTTATAATTATAAATAATGCTAATATAATATAATTATGCTCCAGGTTTTATAGAATTATCGCACGCAACATTGTTGAATATTCTCAAACGAGACGAATTAGCAAGCGACGAAATTGATGTATTTAGGGGGCGTGAGGGATGTTGCACTTATTAATTATCCCTCATGTACAGACTCAATCAAACCGAGTCTGCAATTCTTATGTTATTTTGTTGTGATTAATGCTTCCGAGGGATCACTTTGTCTCCAGAATTTTTTAAAGCAGCATTGAAATGGGCGGAACACAATTGTGAATCTAAATCTGGACAAAACATGCGCGATCAACTTGGGAAAGCTTTGTTTCAAATACGGTTTCCGAATATACCAACAGATGAGTTTGCGCGCGTTGTTACTCCATCTGAAATACTAACCAGCGACGAGATAGTGGCGCTGCATCAATATAACGCAACAAATGGGTCAACACCTTTGGGAAATTTCAGACAAGGGGAAAGATTGGGAGCACAAATTACTGTAGACATTAATAAGTTTAAGTATAATCAGCAACATACGACCGTAATGCTTGGTTGTGTATTAAATGTACAACAGAATGATAACAGTATTGGACAACATTCATATTATTTTGATGGACGTCAAGTTGAAACAAGAAGTAAGTCTCTAAGATTAAAGTATGTCACTGGAACGTTTGTTGGCTGGGTAAAAGGAATCGCTGTTAATGGAGTCAAAAAAACTGATTATAAAACCAATGGAGATGAAATTATCTTCTTGAATCCCATCAATATGTCTGGCAATACCAATGTTGAATTTCATTTCAGCGAAGAACCTGTAGGTAATTCTCCTTTTGGATACATGGAAACAGACCATTTCTCACATATTTCTAACATATCGGAACTCATTAAGGGACAGACTATCACCATCACAAGCATTCCAGGCGGCTTAGAAACCATCAGTTTTGTTTACATATAAGGATGGCTAGTTATGTCATTTGAGAAATAATTATAATTTTATAAACATATTTAGCCCAAGAAGATGAATGGAGAGTGAAAGTTCACTTTTTGACATGCTGGGTTCTTTATTTGTTTATCAGTCTCTATGTGTACTGCTTTTATAAATGACCGTGCCATGTTTGTACCACTTAAATATTTGTCTATACGCTTTTTTATGCGTGCACCATTTTAATATTGGCAGTGAAATTTTCTGTACGTGTTTAATCGTTTTCGTTGGCCTTCACATCTTTTTTGTTTGCTCCACTTAAACTTTGGCCGAAACATCTTTTTATTGGTAAATGTTTCTTTAACATTGTAATGCTTTGGGAGGTTTGGGTGTGAGAGAGGGGTGTCGAGTGTTAGATTGTTTTTCTTTCTTTCTGTTTTTGAGAGGGGGAGGCAAGGTTGTTGGTTTGCATAATACGAGTTATGTATTTAGTTATTTCCCCATTATAAATGTGTATACAACAGCTGAAAAATCTGGTGTTGGACATATCTCCCTTGCTGCGTTTTTGCCTATGTTTTAAAGTATTTATTGTTTTCGATTTCTTAGATTTAGAATAGTAAATGTGTATACAACAGCTGAATAAACTAGAGTTGGACACATTTCGCTCGTTGAGGTTTTGCTTTGATTTTAATTTGTTTTCGATTCCTTATATTTCATTAAATTAATTTAAAAGGATGCTTTAAGATGAAGGATGTATCCAAACTGTTCTTTTACTGGCTAAATAATAGTGATTCCGTCATATTTTGATAAAATCCAGTGTGTCAAAGGTGACAAAGCAGAACCTCCTTGAAACTATATGTAGTAATAACACTCGTATGTGAAGTTTAAACCGATTTTTGGTGCGTCAAGCCTCACTCTTACTCCATTATGTTCCTATATGAAGAACCAGTGTAAATGAAATGAATCCCCGCCAAGTGAAATTATAACAATTGTAGACGAAATAAATAAAACACACAAATGATAATGTAAACAACCCAATGACCCAATGACTATAACAAAAGTACTCGATGTCAAAAAGGAAGGCAGAGCAACAAGAAAATCACTTACAAGGGCCCGAAGTTGATTTGTGTATGGATGTAAAATCTATCATTATTACATACTTGAATTTTATGTGGATTGCATCTAAACAAAGAACTAAATAAAACGAGATGTGCAGATTCTTTTTCCAAATTAAATCAAAGCACTAACATTTCTATTTCTTAATTTAAGCTGCTCTGACGTACGAAACTATCTAACTCTGATTTGCAAGATATCAGTTTCCTGATGACGCTTAACTTTATGATAATAGCTTCGGCATTTGGTTTACACATGGTCTAAAATGAATCATGTTTGCCTTTAGGGTAAAGAGAATAAAGAACAGTATATGCTTGTTTACACGATAAAAAAGGGCTATTTTGAAAAACGGAGTTGATGTGTGTGTGTGTGTTCATGCGTACATACGTCGTCAGATAGGATGTACGTTAATAATCGAAAGAAAAACGCGAAAAGTATAATTATAAGCAGAAAATGTGCAACAATTTAAAGGAAAATTGTCCACCTTAAATTAAAAAAAATCGAATCATAAGAAAATTAATTCATCAAGTGCTTTCTTACAGACGTGTTGTCGTATTTTTTCCAATCTGAAATCATCATAATCACGCACGTCCTATTTAGTTTATGAATACCTGTTCTTTCGTCACGTCATTTATTAAATTTGTCAAAGAGTCAAATTCGGTATGTCTACAAAGAAATGCATTAAAATTGTCAAAGTTTTCTATTACCTATTACTTTTAAAGTAATCAGTATTTTAACGTTCTCTATAAATGAATTTTATACACCTGTGTAAGGAGATTCATTGAAATGAAAAAATAGCTTTTCTATTCAAGTTAATACAGGTTTTAATATTAAAGTTTTTATAAAAACGCAAATAAACCTCCTTATATAGTTTACTAATTACAATCTCAACCTTGAGTAATTGAATCTTCAAGGGTAATAATTATAATGTAACCAAAGATATTAAAGATCCGACTCAGATTTACACACAAAAAAACTTTGTAAAACAATTCATCATGACAAAAAGAGATATAACGGTGTATCTATAAAAGATACGGTTGAAAAGGAAGTAACGAAACCATTTGTGCGATTGCTTCGACAAAAAGATAATGACTTCCTTTTGTATGTAGTAATGCTTTTTAATGTACCGTTATTTGAGATATACTGATATTTGCCCAAAAAGTATAATCATTCGGGTATATGTTTAGAGGAAAGGAAATCCTTTCACTTGTCATTTTTATCTTTTTGCAATATCTACTTTCTGTTTTGTGTGTTTTGTGTACTCAGCGTATGTTTTGATTCAGATATAAAATATAAAATACAAAATATCGTGTATGAATACGTTTAGTTATTGTAATAGTAAACTCATTGACGTCTTATAGAACTGTTGTTTTGAGATGGAAGTTGGAGTCCAATATACTGCTCATACTGAACATGGTATCATAAAGCATTATATTGTAAATATGTGTTATAAAATTAAGATGAACACGACAATTTTGTAGTGTATACTGTTTTACGGCAAAAATTGTAAGGGACTAGGAGACACAAATTATTACTTTGTACATTATTATAAGTATTGTTGTTTTTGTTGTTGTTTTTTTTGTTGTTGTTGTTTTTTTGTTTTTTTTGAAAATCGGAAATGTTATTTGATTGTGATTTCTAAGTCATGCACTTTAAGATAACGTAAACAAAAACACATTGTTTGCGTTACAGTACAGTAATTTCTTTTCTGAAAATATATATTTTATTACATGCGCTACATCGTGCCATTGAAAATATCATAAGATAAAGCGTGGATTTCGGGTTGGGGGAAATTCTGATTTTGGAAAAGAAGTTTGTTATCAAAATTTAGAATATTAAGAGGAGAGTTTTATTGAGGTGGATTTAATTTTGTTTTACAAAAGAGTTTTTAAATATTTTTCTTTTTATATATAGTATTTACTTCTTGAATATAAAACGCTATGTGTACAAATGCCAGCATATCTTAGTGCAATCTTCAAGTAAATGAAAGAAAGAAAGAAAAAAAACAGTTCATGTATTTCTCAAATGTATACGCATTAATTAAGATTGTATCCCTACCTATTGATTATAATATGAAATACATGTATATTTCATAGCAATGAAAATTTTACGTAATACAGTCAAACCCTGTTATGTACAACAACAGCTGATACGAATTTATGTTCTTTTTGATATTCCTTGCTTACTTCCGGTTATCATCATTTTAAACGAACTGTGATAAAGGAGTATTTTCTCTCAATAAAAAGAAGTACAATCGATTATTACTACAATCACGAGATCAATCTCTTGAGTTCTAAAGGTGAATTATGTTTTTTTTATTTTGAAAGTGGCGAATAATAAACCTGTTTCATTATAACCAAATATTTTGCAATAAAAAATGATCTCTCGAAAGCATTTAAAACAGCAAAATAATATGGAAATTGCAAACTCGTTGATTGAGACTGTACATGCGGGATAATGAAAACGTGCAACATCGCTCACGCCCCTAGCACCAGCTTGAGCGGAACTCAATCATCAACACTTAAAAGTGCTGGACTCAATGATCATTGACATACGTCTTTGTACAGTCCAATATTCAACTTCACAATGACCAATACCATTTATTCCTGCTTTATGAAAAAAGGTTCTTTATAAAATTTATTTTTGTACAACTGTATAAATTAATGCATCGAAATTTAAAAAAAAACGAAAATGATTCATTCAAGTTTATTTTGGTTTTGAGTATATTAACGCAAATAAACCTCCCTTTATGAAATTTGAATAACATTCCCAACCATGATTAATTGAATCTTGAATAGTTTCAAAATCATGATATAACAAATGAAATATAATACCCGACTTAATTAAAAAAAACATGTTGTCGAAGTTAATTTATCAAAACAAACAGGGGAAAAAATCTGTTAAAAGGATACAACTAAAAACAAATTTAATGGAAGTAGCGGAATAATCTCCGCGATTGGTTATATAAAAAGGTAA